GCTTCTTCCAGAAGGCAGGGATGGGGGCACCGCATCGAGTCCAGCCTGCACCACCAAATTTGAAACGGACTGAGACCGCCTTCGGGTATCTCCGAAGCCTGCGGGTCTCTGCATGCGAAGTTGAGGACCGCCTTGTGCCGCTCCCGGTGGCCCAGGACCCACGGCGGGCACGCCAGGCTGCTGAGCAAAGGCTTGCTGCCCGCCTGGCTGTCCAGCTGGCTTAAAACCTGGGGGGACTGAGCCATCTTGCACACTTTTCGCCGCACTCGCTGACGAATCCTGCGAATCGCCCCTCTGTGGAGCCATGCGAGGACGTGGAGTTGGTATCGCGCCAGCGCTCATGGGCCCAGAGGGCCGACGCCGAGGGTCGAACGTGGCAGTTTGTGGACCAGCAGACAACGGACCGGGTCCTTGAGGTGGATAGGCAGCCATGGGTGTGGTTGCGCTGATTGGCGTCGTGGCTTCGACCTTTCTCCGCAACGATGACGCGAGATTCAGCCCAGCCGGAACAGGTGCTGCGTTTGGTCTGCGACCCGAAGGACTGCGCAGATTTGCAGGAATCATTGCAGAGCCAGCTGTCGGATCAGGTGGAGCTTGCGGCCTTCGGTCTACAGGTGTCGTGGGCTCCGGGGTGGACCCGCCCGATGTGGGTGCACCGTCTCTGGGGGCCAAGGAATCCTGCGACCTACTTGCCCCGACAAGGTTGCGCGAGCTGCCAAGCTTGCCGTTCATTTGTGTAAAGTTGAAGTTGGGAAAGGCGACCGAGTCGCGTCCGTACACGTCGTAAATGCTGAATGTTTGGTCTCGTCGATTTGGTCCGTCCTCACCCGATTCTGATGTGCCTGACGTATCCAGGGAAGAAGCATTGGAAAGATGTCCATTGAGGGCGCGGTCCCAAGGACGCGCGCCGCCACCACCTTCGACATTCGATGAGCCACCGATCGCACCTGATACAGCGCCACCAGCCCCGACTGTGCGCTGTTGATCCAGACCGCGCCCGGTGATGGGGGATTCAGCCGAGGAAATTGGAGACGGCGGCAAATGGCTAGTCGTGAGA